CGAGCAACTGTCAAAAAGTGAGGAGTCCAAGGAGCTAAAGCCAGCAGGGAATCTGCTGCCTGTGCTCCCTGCCCAAGCGCTGCAGACAGAACTAAAGAGGGATGTGAGGGTCAGACTTGGCTAGTGGAGGTCAGAGAAGAAGTTTCTGTTAACGGCTCTGGCAAGAAAGTAAAAGAAAGAAAGAAAGATGGTGACCAGATGTTCTCCATTTAGAACCTGTCAGGAGGAAATTACATTGCAGTGGTAGGAATTCAGGTTATATAAAAGGAAGGCCTCCCGGCCAATGAACTCTGCATGGAACCAGTGACTGATGGACATGGTAGTCTCTCTCCACGAAATGTTTTTTAAAAAAGTGGACATGTGCATATTTTCCGTGATTTGAATATAGTTGTCAGAAATGAGACCAGGTCAAACATCTATGGACATACTAAAATTTCTTGAAAAACTGGCATGTCTATAATTGACATTTACTTAATTATAACAATTGTTATAATTACTTTTTCATTTATTGTTTTAGAGAGAGGGGAAAGAGGGGGGAGGGAGAGAGATCAATTTGTTGTCCATTTATTTATGCATTCATTGGTTGCTTCTTGTATGTGCTCTGATAGGGGATTGAACCCTCAACCTTTGTATATCAGGACAATGCTCTAACCAACTGAGCTACCCAGCCCGGGCCTATAATTACTTTTAAAATCTACTGAATTCTTCTAATCTGATACTACACCCACTTTTCTATATAAAAATTAGGATAAAAATATGTATAATATAATTCATAATCAACATAATCATACAGAATCCATTCATCATCTTCAGTATTCCTATTAATTCAAATTAATATTTATTAATAAGAATTAACAATCAAAACAATAGGATGGAGCAGTCCAGTTATATATCTGTATCTGAAATTACATTTTTAAGCAAAATGAGTCATATCTACATACACACGTTGAAAATAATATCTTAAGTAAAGTACCCGCTGGAAAACTATGCAGAAAATAATGGAAAAGTAAATACAAAAGAAGTTCTGGAAAGTCTGTTAGAAAAGTAATGAGATTTACAGATTGACTAAAAACACCAGAAAACCCTCCAAAGGGTACTTGACTTTTGGTCAGTCAGTCAGTCAGAAAAGAGAGCTGGCAGTTGATGAGGAGAAAATGTGAATCATAAAGTCTACCTCCGCCATCACACAATGCATATGAATCAGATGTCTGCTGGCTAGTTCTTGGCCTCGAGTCTAAAAGTCAATAACTGCTTTATATATTTGGCTTCATGACCAAGCTTGGGTTTCCTGTTCTTTCAGTTTGTAATAAATGAGGCTACACTCACACAGAATTGGGGGTAGAGTGTCCCAACCCTCCCATCCATTCCTGTCATCCTTTAGTTTGGCTAATTGCTGAGGCAAAATTGCCATGTCTGTCACCTACAGCGCAAGTTTGACTCTCTAGCCAAATATGAGGACGCACAGTAGTGACTGCTATAGCAACAGACTAAACAGACGATCCGAGGGCAGCGTCGGAGGAAGAGGCAGGCGATCCAAACACAGGGAGGGATGACAAAGCTACAGGACTTTCAAGCATAACCCCGACCATAAAACTTAGGCCACGTCCCAAGTAATGGCATTCTTCATAAAGGTATCCTTTCTTCTAATTGTTTTATCAGCTAAGAATTCGTTAAAACAGTTTAATTTCAATTTTTAATGAACTATAAATTCAAAGAATAGTTTCTAAATAAGAACTCTAATCCAAAGTGTCCAAATGCTGACTCTTTACATGAAATTACATAAAAATAAGTTGAAATTATTCCATCCCTTTAGAGCGGTTCCCAGCTAGCCTTCCAGTTGAAAGGAAAATATTAGCAGCACAAATATAAGCCACAGGGGAAAAAGACAGCACCTGTCCAAACCCCACCTTCTTCCGGTTGTTTCTCTGAACCCTTTTCGTTCCCTCAGTCCTTCCCTTGTAAACTCACACGCGCACACACTAAACATCTTACTCTTCCTATCAGGACACAGATCACTGTCAATCCTTTTATATAACAGGATAAGATTCTTGCCAATATCAGGCTGCTGTACTGGATTTGGGTAAAACTTTAAAACTGGTTATGAAGAGAACTGTTTTTCTAGTTCACCAACCGAGTCTCTGTTTCGACAGTGGTTCTGAACCCTGACTCAGAGCCTCCTTTACAGCAAAAGCTTGTATCACTCTTGTACTATCATGGGATGCAGTTCTCAGAATACATACCTAATAAACATACCTGATTTTAACAAATCACCATAATGTCATAATTACAATGCAAACAAAAGGGACTTAAAGTATGTATTTCATTATATGTGTTCAGCCATGACTACACTAGATGACAAAAAATACTAAGATCCTTCTACCTACCTACTCACAATCAGCTGTATGGATACAATACAAACAGGACAATAGTCATCTAATCACTGTAGTACTTTTTTATGTTCAGTTCTAGATATAAAGGCTAAACAATTATAGTCACATTGAATGTTCTTAGCAGTTGCATTCCAGAGAAATTCATTACATATTAAAACTTTATAGAAAATACTTTGTGTTTACATCCATAATTAAGTTGTTTTTAAGCTCAAATAATTACAAAAGGCCTTTGCATTTACATGAATGACTCAAGACTTTCAAGTCCTATAGGATATGGGATGACTGTTCCCTCCATTTCAGGAAATAGAGCATCCACAGTTTCTGCCCCAGAAATGCTCTTAAAAGGGGTCTAAATATTACTAGAGAGCAGACCACACACCCATGCCAACCCTAAAACCACACGGCCAGGTGGAAACACCTGTCACCTTATAGTCAACCTTGGATTTACAGAAAAATATGGAGCAGCTCCTCTGGGAACATTGTATCAAAACTTATGGCCCAGCCAGTGTGGCTCAGTGGTTCAGCATTGACCTATGAACCAGGAGGTCACGGTTCCATTCCCAGTCAGGACACATGCCCAGGTTGCAGGCTTGATCCCCAGTGTGGGGTGTGCAGGAGGCAGCTGATTGATTATTCTGTCTCATCGTTAATGTTTCTCTCTCTCCCTTTCCCTTCCTCTCTTAAATCAATAAAAATATATTTTTTAAAAATCCCAACTGAATTTTAAAAAAAAACTTATGTGCACCGTTACAAATATTTTCAAAATCAAAGAATTGAAACCATGCAAACTATAATCTCTGTTAAGGAAAATTAGTTAGAAATCAATAACAGAAAAATACATTTTAAATTAGATATTAAAAAATCAGTTACATTCCTAATATAGCTAGCTACAAGTGGCTAAAAAATATAAGAATTTACAATAGCAAGAGAAATACAAAGAACCAAAGAAAAACATACCAAAATATACCGAAAGAGTGCCATGAAGAATATTATGAAACCAGAGGCCCGGTGCACATTTGTGCAATGGGCGTGTGTGTGTGTGGGGGGGGCGGGGGGTCTCAGCCCGGCCTGCTCTCTCTCACAGTCCGAGTCCCCGAGGGATGTCTGATGGCTGAGGCCCGCTCGCGAGGAGGGAGTCGGAGAAACCTGCACAGCTGGACAGCCGGCAGTCGGACGTTCTTAGCGCTGCCACAGAGGCGGGAGAGGCTCCCGCCACCACCGCTGCACTTGCCAGCCTTGAGCCTGGCTTCTGGCTGAGCGGCGCTCCCCCTGTGGGAGTGCACTGACCACCAGGGGTCAGCTCCTGCATTGAGCACCTGCCCCCTGATGGTCAGTGCACGTCATAGCAACCGGTCATTCTGTTGTTCAGTCAATTTGCATATTAGCCTTTTATTTTATTGAAATTCATTAAAGAAAACCTAAATAACTGAAAGACTATGCTCACTGAAAATAAAACTCAGAAATATCACCATGTCTATTTGTTCAAGTGACATAAATACAGTGGAACCTCAGTTCTGGAACTTAATTCGTTCTGGAAGGCTGTTCAAGAAGTGATCTGTTAGAAAACCGAATCACTTCTCCCCATTAGAAATAATGTAAATTGTACTAATCCTTTCCAGACCCCCAAATGATTCCCTGGGTTTGTTTGCTTGCATTTTAAAAGTTTTTATTTCAAAAAGTAAAGCCACAGTTACTTTCACACAAATATCTGGGGAGGGGAGGGGGAGGGATGGGCCAGGCTGGGCCCCTCCCTCTCCTCCTTCACACTGTGCTGTACAGCAAAGGGCTGGCTTACCAACCTCGGGAAGGCGTGTCTGCTCCGTGGTCATGTGATCAGGGAGAACGTCATCGTCAAAGGGCAGCACATGCTGGGGACTTAGCATCAGGCCAACAGGGGACCCTCCCAGATGCCAACCTCCGCTCCCACGGAACATGGGACATATCTGTTCTGTAAGACGCTGTTATTCCTTCTTTGCCAGAACTTGGCCGCTGCGGGCACAGGCTCTGCTGTTCATCACCACGATGGTAGAGGGAGCGGGTTTCCCAATGGTCAGAGCTGCCGCAGGAGAGGCCAAGGCTGCAGGGGAGGCCAGGGCTGCTCGGGCTGGGTGACGGAGCCCCGGCCCCGGGACTGGCACAATTCTCTAACCCAGTGGTCAGCAAACTGCGGCTCGCAAGCCACATGCGGCTCTTTGGCCCCTTGAGTGTGGCTCTTCCACAAAATACCACGTGCGGGCGCGCACGTACAGTGCGATTGAAACTTTGTGGCCCATG